CTGCTTCTCCCTCTGACCCTCCCCCCTCTCATGTGCTCTCGCTCTCAAATAAATAAATAAAATCTTTAAAAAAAAAAAAAAGAAAACAAGAACATAGACTCTGAAGGAGAGGCAAAGGGATTCGAAGAACTAGCTCTGCTACCTCCTAACATGTGACTCTGGGTGAATTACTTTACTTCACTGAATCTTAGTTTCCTCATCTGTAAAATGGGGATAACAATGCCCACCTATAATTAAATCATATTTTTTAAAAAAAGATTTTATTTATTTCTTTGAGAGAGAGAGAAAGAGCTTGAGTGGGGGAAGGGGCAAAGGGGGAAGGATAGGGACAAGCAGTCTCCACAGTGAGCACAGATCCTGCCATGGGGCTCGATCCCAGACCCTGAGATCAGGACCTGAGCCGAAACCAAGAATTGGATGTTTAACCAACTGAGCCATCCACGTGCCCCTTGAATCATAATACTTAACATGCCTGACACAAACTAACCGCTCAAGACCAACACACACATATACATCCATATGAAGTAGACACTGCTATTCTCCCATTTGACGGATGAGGAAAGGAAAACACCAAGGGATTTTTGTAACCTGCTCAGGGTCACTCAGGTGGTATGTGAAAGAGGTGAGATTATGTCAGGATGAAATGTGCTTATGATAGCATGTGACAGATAGTAAACATTCAATAAAGTGTAGCTATTTATATAATCAGTTTAAAGCATTTATGCCTCTGCTCTGTCGGCAGTGTGTTCTGTAAATGTCAAGGGGTGATGTGTCTTTCTGGAAAAATGAGTAATGCTCCATGGCTTCAAAGGTTTCCACTCTTTAACTAGCCCATTTCCCAATAGCTGAATTGTCATTTTATCATCATAGCCTAGGAGCCAAACTGAGAATATGAATTAACATCTTGGCATTGTTTATATTCTCTCTCTGAAAGCCTGGGCCTTTGGAAACACAATCATATTTATTTTAATAAAACTGCTTTATGACTTGCTTGCCCTCTAAATTCCCTTTGCTCTTTGGGGAAGGCTGCTGACAGGCAATGGGGCTTTGTTTTAGTCCCTGTGCTGCGATCATAATTAACTGCCACGGAGAGGGAGACGGGGGATAGTCAGCAGAGAGAAGGTTAAGGACAGTGCTTTTATGCATGAGACTGACTTTCAGGCTCTTGTCTGAGGAAGGGAAGATTATGCTTGACCTGCCACCTTAGAGACCAGGCCCTGGATAAACAGGCAGCCCATTCCAGGCTCAAGAGTTACTTACCCCTTTTAAAAGGCTTGAATGTGTGGAAAATTGGCAGTGGTAGGGTCTGCAGGACCTCTGCCCTTCTGAAACCTCATGAGTCTGCTCTCTGTAAATCAGTGTCAGTTTATAGTTACCAGTCTCTAGACTGACAGGCTTCTCCCTATGAATGTAGTTTGTCATCCTGTAGTTACTACAGGTAAAGAAGTCTGCCTCCCTTGAAATGTGACGTTGCCCCAGGGAAAGTTAAAACCAATGAAGTGTTCTTAGACCGTCAGACCTGGAAGGAATCTTAAGAGTGCTGTGTTTGCCAACACAGAACTACGTCCGTGGGGACTGCCTGGACCATCTGCTAGAATTCCAAGTCCTGGTCCTCACTACGCCTGCTTTATCAAAATCCGCGGACTGGGGGCCCAAAGGTCTCAATTTTAATAAGTTCCCCCAGGTTATTCTAATGCACAGTGAGGCTTGAGAGCTACAGATATGGAGAAACAGATTCAGTCATCTGAATTACAGATCAAGATACTGAGACACTTCAATTGGTCCCCGAGGAGGGATAAACACAATGCCCTGGTCTTCTGACTCTCAAACAAATGTTTTTGTTTTGTTTTGTTTGTTTGCTTTTATGATATCATATTCCTTTTAGCTTCATGGAAAAAGACTTCCTCCACAAATTTTACACTGGGGTCTGGTTATCCAAGGTTTATAAGGCTTAGCTGAGATAGGAGGCAAGGGGCACTGGGCGATCCAAGCTTTATTATTGCTGAAACCAGGAGAAATAGATTTTTGGGAAAATAAATGATTAAAATTTAATAGTAATGTCAAGGAAGAAGAGATAGATTAAAAAAAGAATAAGGATATTGGTTTTTGATTGACAGCTTCATCAGGAACATTTATTTTTGTTACTATTCAAAGAGTTATCTAAATAGGGCAACTTGGTGCTGACACGGCTGTCTCTGATTCGCAGAGAGCAAAAATGTCTTATGTGTGTCGGGTATTTGAAAATGCTTTCCTATCCATGACCCTATTTGATCCACATCACTCTGGAGAGGTAAGTGTTAGCATATCCAACTATGAGATGAGATTCAGAGAAGTAAAGAGACTGCCCTAAGTCTAGTTAGTAACGACTAACATGCATATTAGGAAGCGTATTAGGAAGACTATTACTACGACTGTTTAGGAGTGTACCATGTGCCAGGAATCTCTCTGAGCACTTGATAGGAATTTTCTCATTTAATCATCACGACTGCTTTATATACTTGTCTAATTTGACCCTCATCACAGCTCTATGAGATAGTAACATGTTACTGATGAAGAAGCTAAGGTATAAGGGAATGAATCACCTTTCATTCGTTCCTCTACTCATTCAACAAACCCATGCTAAGCTTCTCAGTTCTAGACATTTATTTAAGCTCTAGGGATACTCTGCTTTCGTGGAGTTGACACTGGATGGTAGAAAAAAGCACTAAACAAGGAAATGGATAAATACATGAATCGCTATGAAATGAATCAAAATAGACTGTGGGAGTAACTGGACATGGCAGGTGTTGTGTCTTGGACACTGTGGCAGATGAAAGGTACTGGAGCTGACACCTGAAACAGGTATACAGCTGCCTGGGGGAAGAGGGGCAAAGGCCCTAAATGTGATCAGCGTATCTCTTGATCCAGCAAAGAGGATGGAACAGAGTCATGGGGGGGTTGGGGAAGCAGTGGGAGAGGAGTCAAAGACAGGAGGAAGAAACATCCTGTAGTGGCAGGGAAAATCCTTTGACTTTGAGAAAGGTAGGAAGCCACGGAGGGTTTGAGCAGGGCAGTGACCTGATGTGATGTACTTTAGAAAGCTTGCTCTGTACCAAAGCGGGGAGATCCCATAGAGGGCAGAGTGGAACTTGCCCAGGGTCATACAAGTGATGGGAGGTAGTGGGGGTGCAGGTTGTCTCAATGTTTAGCTCTGGCTTCCTGAGGAGGCACGCATCAGTCTCACCAGCATGTTATCCTCACCTTCCGCGAATCCTGTGCTCGAGTCCCTCCTGCCACACACAAGAGACTCTCCATAAGGACAGGAGTTGTTGCTCTCCATGGCAACTGGCAGAGAGGAGCCACTGGGGCAGGCCAGCAGGCAGAGCTGGGCCAGAGCCGTTCTCAAGGCTGTGGCCCCAGGTGGCCTCACTCACCTTGGACTTCTCTTGATGCAGCTCTATCTGGATGTCTGTGAGCTTGGTCCTGAGGTCTTCATTGGCAGCTTGAAGGGCGACGATGAGCGCTTCGGGCTTCTCGCCCTTATTTCGCCCTTTCTTGGACATTGTTCCTTTCTAAAGGGAGTCTTGTTTTTGAATGCCTTTCAAACAGGTGCTGCCATGTTACTGCTTCTTATCGTGGGTGCAATATCTCAGCATCTACTGCGTGGTGCTCCTTGGTAAGCTCTCCTCAGCCGCTGCCCTGGAAGCCCTGGGGAGAGGCAGAGACGGCGATTACGGCTGTGGCAGGGACCTGGGCCAAGGGCCAGGCAGGGTCTCTCAGCCTGAGCTACCTGTATGAGCCTGCTCCCGAGGGCTCCTGCCCCCAGATCCTCCCATCCACTTGGCACATGAATTTAGAGCCATCTTTCGAAAGACGTGGTCTGGTCCTCCAATGCCCTGCTCAAAATCCTCCAAAGACCTATGAGTATTTGAGTGTATTTTTCACATCTCAGAGTGCTTTTTATGTCTGAAACTGCCCATTCCCCTATCTTATCTCCTCCATTTCACTCACTTACTCTCCAGCCCTAAGAAATCCCCTTTTTGGGGTGCCTGGGGTGGCTCAGTCAGTTAAGCGTGTGACTCTTGATTTCCACTCAGGTTATGATCTCAGAGTTGTGAGACTGAGCCCCGCCGCTGCATCGGGCTCCACGCTGGGCATGGAGCCTGCTTAAGATTCTATTTCTCCCTCTCCCTCTGCTCTCCTCCCCCCCCTTTAGCTCTCTCTAAAAACAAACAAAAAAAATGCTTTTTATTTTTTTTTAAGCAGGCTCCATGCCCAGTGTGGGGCTTGAACTCACAACCCTGAGATCAAGACCAGAGCTGAGATCAAGGGTCAGTGGCTTAACTGACTGAGCCACCCAGGTACTCCAGAAATGCCCTTTAATTTTCTGATTCTTGCTCTCTTCCCATAAAGACTTTCCCTACCCTGTTCATTTCTCTCCATGCTCTCCCCAGCCTCCTCACAAGTCCTCCCTTGTGTTCTCATCCTCACAGCCTCACACACATACAGCTTAGTTTGGCTAACTTTTATGCCTCCTTCAGGTCTCAGCTTCCGTATCAGTTCTTCCTGGAAGCACCTCTAGATTATTATGTGCCCTCATTATTTAATGGTGGTCACAGCTCCATGAATCTGTAAACTTTGTGAGGGCAGGAATGCATTAATCCTATTTAAAACTTGCTTCTCAGAATACATCATAAGACCTGCCACATACCAGGTAGTCAACTGGTATTTGTGAAAGGAAGTCAACTATGTAATGACTTCATGTTGCCCCATAGAGAGCCCCCAGTTTAAGAAAATTCTATATACAAAGACCTAGAATCATACAATGGATAAACTAATAGAGGGGGGGATTAATTATACTGGGTTAATTGAGTGACTCATTTATTCATTCAGTCAATATTGTTAGTTCCTTCTTTATGCTGTGGTAGGTACACCATGTTGAAATTGAAAGTAAGAGTCCCAAGACAAACAATAAAACTTTTATATCTATCTATCTATCTATCATCTATCTATCTATCTATCTATCTATCTATCTATCTATCTATCTATCATCTATCTACCATCTCTCTAGCTTCATCATTATCATAATCATCACCATCACCTATCTGATAACTGCCTTTAAAAAAATAAACACTAGTTGTTTCAGAAGTATAGACAAGGACTCCTCCCTCCAATGAGGTGACTAAGGAATCTCCTTGAAGAAGGCGGCATTGCCTGGAACTTAAGGAGGAGGATGTTAACAGATGTAGAAACAGATGAGGCATCCTAAGTGAATGAAATGGCAGGTGCTGAGATACAGAAAAAAAGAAAATCACAGCAAGTATTTTGTGGGGAAAAGGAGGGCCTGCTCAATTAACCCAGAGTATGGTTGATGGGCAGTAATGCTGGAGAGGTTGCCTGGAAATGACAGATTGTGGAGGACCTGGAACACCAACCTTAAGATTTTGGAATCTTTTTTTTTTTTTCAGTAAGCAATGGGTAAGCTGCTGAAGTTCTTGGCAGGTGGATACCCTAACGGGAAATGCTTTGGTGTGGTTATTCTGGTGGCAGAGTGGGGAGAAACTGGGAGTGGGGAGACTGGATAGAAGGCTAGTGAACTTGCCAAGGTGAAAGATGATGCAGCCCTAAACAGAACAGTATCAACGAGAGAGGGAAAAAAAAGGGATGTGTCTTGATTTACAAATTCTTAAATGCGTCACAGGAATGAGGAGATCAGAAAAATATGGATACTAAATTGTGAAAGTCAATGGGAAAAACATAACAAGATACTAGAGAAAGTTTCTCACACAACCTTTCAGAAAATTGGGTATTGTGTACATGGAGGTGCTTCGGTCCAAAACTAAGGGGAATTCCTACTGGTCACCCATATGTTCCAGCAGCTGCTGTTCTCTCAAGCCCCCTGGTATTCAGCCTGGAGGACCATGCTGGGATCCTGGGCTTTCTGCCACCCCCCCATGAGCACTGGGGCCATGCCCTTTGCAGTGTGACCCTAGGGAAAGGGATAGGAAGAGGTTAGGAGGTAGCGAGGACCAGTCTGTCTCTAGAAGTCATGGAACTGTCCACCATATTCTACCCTAAGCTGGATGTTGGAATCCTTCTTCATGCTTATTTTGCAAATGTCGCCAAATCATTGAAGTGTATAGCTGAGAGATGTTAAAGGGGCTACCATTCTTTGCTTTTAGAATTGAAATGAATTAACAAGCATTTATTGGATTTTTATGACAAATACTACTAGGCACAAAGATAAATAAGACAGTATTTAATTTCAAGCACGTGTTAGGGGAGTGAACTCACATGTTTTTGTTTAACAGGTTTCTCTTCCTCTAGCTGAGCTCTAAACATTGCTGGTCCCCTGGGTTCCCCAAAGTTATCACCAATGACCCCACCAATAGGGTTATGACTCCCCATTTTATATCCATAGCCCTGACCACTCTCTAAACCCCGACTCACATATTCAACATCTTACTTACCAAATCTACTTGGATATCTGACTGGTGGATCAAACCTAACCTAACTAACATGGATGTCTTTATTACTAGCCCCTCAGAGCTTCATTCCCTCCAGGTTTTCCCATATCAATAAATGCACCACCATGGGCCCAGTTGTTCCAGATCTAAGCTTAGAAGCCCTCCTTTCTTCTTGTATCCATCATTCCTCTTCTCTAGTCCACCAGTGGTCCTGTTTGTTTTTCCTATAAAATATAATTCCCTTTGGTCAAATTCTCTCAACCCCCTACAGTGTTCTCAGAACATGGAGAAAGGAGGAATTTGAGAAAAACTTCAGTCACTTCATAGCCTTATGGTCTTCCTTTCTGACTAGAGATACAGGAATGACAGAGAAAGAGCTTGAGAAGTACTGGGAGTCATAAATTTGCCAGACGCATTTAGAGAAGGTTGTGAACAGGGAGAAGACAAACTGGGTTAGATTGCAGAGGTTCCTGCATGACTGATGGTTAGATTTCATTGATAATGATTCCATTTCATTATGTAGAAACAAAGCATTTGAATATAAGTGTAATAATAAGAGCTCAGAGTGACTGACTGCTTTGAGCTAGACATTGGACTAAGCACTTTGACATACTGCTCTCATTTCGTCCTCCCTAAAAATAGGGGGAAACGATTCACAGAAAGATGAATTAACTTATCTAAAATGACTGAGTCATAGGGAGTGAGGCCTTCATGCAAGACTGGGACCCAGGCTGTGATGCCCTGGGTTGCATTGCCTCATGTTTGCATTTTAGAGAGGTAGCTCAGGCAGTGTGATGGACGGTGAGTTCCCAGGGAAGGTCACACAGGAAGCAGGAAATCAGGCTGCTCTCTGGTCCAGGTGAGTGGAAGACAGCCCTGAATCTACCCATGGCCATGGGGATGAAAAAGGACATAGTAACTCTGACACATGGAGACTTTGATGGAAACATGTCTTCCTTTTAAACATGATTACTGGCTTGAACATTCTTCTCTGCCATGGTAAATAATGAGTACCAGCTTTCTGGTAATGCTTGCAGCAGAAACGTGCACTGCCATAGTCATATTTTACATTCTAATCTATAATCCTTTCCCAAAAAATATAATACTATGTGCCTGACTTCCTGCATTTTTTTTGTCCGGGAATTATTTTTAACTTAGTCCCATAAGGGCTAGGGAAAAGAAGAGGGTTAAAAAACTAGAAACAGGGGCGCTTGGGTGGCTCAGTCGTTGAGCATCTGCCTTCAGATCAGGTCACGATCCCAGGGTCCTGGGATCAAGCCCCATATCGGGCTGCCTACTCAGCGGGGAGCCTGCTTCTCCCTCTCCCACTCCCCCTGCTTGTGTTCCTTCTCTCTCTGTGTCTCTGTCAAATAAATAAATAAATAAATAAAATCTTTAAAAAAAAAAAAAAACTAGAAACCTGTCCAAGACAGAAAAAAGCATCACAGAAAGTTACTGATAGAGTCAGCTTATGGATACGGTAAGGTGAGCATCAGTTCATAAGGATGATCCCATACATCCTCCTGGTGAAGGGGAACTTTGTGAAGCCTTTTCCGGTTGTGATGGGTATCTGGCAATCTCATGATTCTCGTGTATAATTTTACTACAGTGCTTCTGTCATCCTGTGCTGCCTCCCCCTTTTCCGGTTGTGATGGGTATCTGGCAATCTCATGATTCTCGTGTATAATTTTACTACAGTGCTTCTGTCATCCTGTGCTGCCTCCCCCCAACCCCGCTTTTTGGATAGCTTTACTGAGATATAATTCACATATAAAATTTACCCTTTAAAAGTGTATTAATTCAGTGGTGCTAGCATATTCTCAATATTGAGCAATCATCACCACAGTGAATTTCAGAACTTCTTATCACCCCCCAAAAAAAACCCTATACCTGTTAGCAGTCATTCCCTATTCCTCACCAAACTCTCTCAGCCCTAGGCAATCACTAATCTATGGATTTGCTTATCCTGAACATTTTCTATCAAATGGAATCATACAATATATAACTGGCTTCTTCCACTATAGCATAACATTGTCAAGGTTCATTCATATTATAGCATATACAGATATTTCATTTCTTTTCACTGCTGCATAATATTCCACTGTATGGCTAAAACTGCATTTCATTTATCCAGCCATCAGCTGAAGGACAAGTGCTGCCTCTGCTTAAGTAGCCTGAGGCAAGGCTTTCAAAGAAGCTGCCAGCCAGACCAAAGACCTCTATGCAGGCAAAAGGT